GTGTGTGTGTGTGTGTGTGTGTGTGTGTGTGTGTGTGTGTGTGTGTGCGTGCGCGTAATGGCAACTGTTGTGGACAGGTGTGTCGCATACCACCAGGCGCACGACATGTTCGTCCCGTCATTTGATATTATAAAATAATGTGTATATTTGTGAAGTGATGTTTAAGGAAAAATAATATTTATTGATAATGGAATTTTTTTCGGAGCTTAACCCGATCATGGACAGTAAAAACGTTTACTGTGTAATTCAATATTAGAATATGATATTACGGAGTACACCGTTTCGCTATCTAGACTTAAAAAAATCAACAACGAGCTTTACAGTGATATTTCCAAATGCTTTTCATGTAGTTGCTGCCTACTGCTTTTCCATAGAGAAGTATCAACAACGTACTGACAAAACTCAATGATTTACATGCATTGAACAATTTATATTCATCACCATCAGCATATCAGCCATTTATATTGATTATTTGGTTTTAAAATTTGTGTCTTAATCGTGTTTCAAAACATATTTTATTAACTCGACATGTCGGACATATTGCAACGTCTATGGTCTCGAAAGGTAGTGTCAACATCTTTTTTCTGACTGGGTAGGCACTTAGTCTTCATTATTTATTTGTGCACAATGGTTGTCACTAGACCGACACACAACACTCACGATATCCGGCAACTTGTCGGGCGATATTTCATCTTGCTTACATTTGCTGATGACTGGATCCCACGACGATGAAAGCTTAAAACAGTCTTATCGGTAGAATTTACGATTTTTTTTTTAATTTCAACAGCTTCACTTACAATTTTACTGTAGTAATAACGTTATGTAGAAAGGATCTTGGGATTGTGAAGCTCAATCCAGTGGTTTGGTACTGATTGCAGCAAATGCTATTGCAGACTTCTTGAGCTGACGGTTCTTAATAGTCCCGATGTGTTCTTAGACTCTTGAATTTATATTGAATCAATGAATGCAAATAAAATGCATAAAAGTTCATAAAAGTACATTTTTGTATGCAGTTTTATTTAAGTACTGTCCTTGAAAGTGTTCAGCTCCGAATGTACGCGATTAATCGCATATATTTGATTTTTCAAACAATTGTAAAAAGTCGGGTCTGTAAAGAGTCGGAAAGATTGGTTTGTTTGTAAAAACAAATATACGTGATTTAGACCCGATAAAATAGTTTTATTTTCAAACGTGGAAACCTTATTCCATAATATTTATGTTTTTTTACATTTCCAGACCCGGCAAAGGTCAAGTTATAATCCGCTCCCACGGCGTATGGTATTCAAAATGCTACCCCACACAGAACCACACGAAATCTGAACTTGAAAATATTTGCAGACAACTAGGCTTCATTAGTGGACATGCAAAAAAAATCGAACTACCGCCGAATGCCATACAAAATTATAATAATATTCTATTAGATCAATTTAGTGAAATTGTACTGAATAACAGTACGAGAATTTCCATAAGAAATTCGGATGAACCTATTGCTACACCGATTCTAGACAATAGCATAAAGAATTGTTACCCAGTGTTAGTGGAATGTTTGTGAATTCCACATATTTTACATACAATTGTCAAGTAAATATTTAAGGCAAATATTATTAATTTATTGATATTTATGTAACAATAATAAAAGTAACCTTTATGATGCTTTTGTTATTTTAAATAATATAATGTAGAATTGTTAGCGCACGCAACTTCTCATAGTAAACCCTTTCTTACAAGCTGAGCAAACATTTTCTATTTATATTAAATTACTGGCACAAGGGACTTGTCATGTCTCAGGGTGACGGGCGCAGAGGCAGTGCCCTTCAGATAGACGTGTCGCCTAGGCTTGGGCTGTGCCATTGTTCATTATTTCAGTTCTCTATATTTTATTTATTACATATATTTTATAGTTACATTTATTTTTAATTATTTTTCTCATCGCGCACAAAACGCATTCATTTTATATTCTGGTAACAGTATCCTCCCTTTCACCTACTACTTCTCACTCAGGGACTGACAATGAAACAGTTGATAGACTGATGAAGAATCAAGTTTCAAACATAAATAGTTCTCAATACCCAGCTCCTCCAGTTCCCATGACAGATTACGAAACAATTATAAAATCCCGAATGTGCGATCATTGGCATGAACAATAAGAAATCTCCAAAATTTTTAAAGGAAATTAGTACACTCACATTTAACAAAAAATGCCATTTAAACGTTGGTATTTAAAATGGATGTCACCCTCTAGAAAATTCATTACAACGATAAACAGATTGCGATTTCGCAATTGCGAGTTTCCAGCATACTCAAAACGAATGAAGATCATTTCTTGCGATCAATGTGAATACCGTCATTCGGCTGCAGCTAATTTGGATCATTTCATTCTGCTTTGCATTCTGCATTGATCTCCTGCCGTCAACGAGCGAAGGTTATTACTAGTAAATGGCCAAATAAAGATCTATGAAGAGGAAGATTCCCTGTCTCCTGCCATCTTTACTAGAAAACGAAAGTTATTTATAGTTACATAATTTCCTCTTTTGATGTCATATGAAGATTGAAACCTAAATGAAAATTGAAATCCGTTAAAAAAAAGCCGTTAAAACTACACAAAAAAGGGTTAAAATAATCGATAAAAACCTTAGAGGATGGAAAATACCATCTTTCAATAGTATTGCAACCCCGCTTAAAATCACATTCCTAATTCAAAAAGTTTAACTAACTTAAAACAAAACTGTGACACTATGGGTATAGTTAGTGGGTAGTATAGTATTGACTTACAAATAAATGGACGACGGGTGTAATACAAAAACCACGAAAAAAATATCCCAAGTCAACCTATTCGAAATTTAAATTGTTATGTCATCGCAGTATCGCGCTGTCCGTAGAACAAATGAAGACTAAAGCGGAGTGTCGCGCTCTGTATATGATTTTAGCGCCTTACAAGTGCGGACACTTTTTAGCGCGGACCCGACGTCCATATAATTGTAAGTCAATGACTATACCTAATAAACTCAATTCTGAATATGCAAGGTACCTTCACGAGGTTAGGCGTCGTGAAGGTACCTTACACATTCAGATCCATCCTGGCCTCTCTAATATTAATTGACCAAACAACTACTAATATTAACGTTTTAAAAATTAAATTGTAACAATTTTATTGTTTTTCTTTGTTTATATCAATCTAAAAGTATTAAATTAGTGGATACAGAGCTAAAAGATCAGTGTGAGAACCCTGGCTTCTCAAATAAGATGTCACTGATACCAATTACCTTATATCTATGACTTAGTTTCTAAGTTACGTAATATTTGATAATATTTTCTTTCACCGTTAGTGAACCACACACTAACGGTGAAAGAAAATATTGTGATGAAACCTGCTCGTCGAAGAAGGTTCAGAACCCTTGGAGAATGTGCGAAGTTCCCAATCCGCATCGACAATAGCCTCATTTAAGGAAACTATTTAAAGGGACCAGTGCCCAACAATGGGAACTAAGGTGGATTGAAGATAATGAATGAATACTGGTAAATGAAATAGAACTTGTATCTTAGATGTCAGAATTAATTGTGTGTGTCAGGAGCTTACTATACAAAATATATTCTAAACACTTTATGCAAGTACATTAGAAATTTACATTTGTCTATTTAATTTGAATGGTAGAGCATCTATTTAAAATAAAATATATAATATAATTATTACAATACGTAGCTGTAACTGTTATAATCACATTTCTGTTTTGAAACGGTCTCTTTCTTTTTGGCTTGATATTAAGTTTGGACATATATGACACTACGGACTTGTGTGTAGTCTAACGTCAAAACTATATTATATTCATTGATACTGCAATATATGTTATGTTAAAATGCGATAAATTGTCAAACCAAAATCTTAGAGGATGGAAAAAACAAACAAAATTTTTTGTCCAGACAAGACAAGAAGTCAACATCGCCATCTTTTCCAGCCGACCAAAACCAACAAATATGTTACGTTCGCGAGATGTCATAACTTCTTTGTAGTTCAAGGATATATTAACAGATGGCGTTGTATGAAATAATAAATTTACCGTTCCAACCAGAGACGAATTGTGGGCACTGTAGCTCGAAGGCGCTTTGGTACTGCATTTGGATCATCTTTAAATAAAATTGAAAAGAGGTTTTACTACAATACATCACATTTATTCAATGTAAGGTTTGCTTATAAAAATATTATTACAGTACTACCAGTTCTAAAACACTTTGCTCAAGAGATTATAAACAACAAAAACTAACGCTGCTTAATTTACACTGAATAAAGAAAGAACACTAAAGCAAAGTGTATGCTACTAGGATCATATAAAAAAGCTAAACACATAACACGTAAACATTTTCCCTATAACAATGAATAATAAATAGGTGTCATTTCAAGTAGGTAACTCCTCTACATGCCATGTTAATTGTGTTCGCACAGTAACTATACGTTGTTGCGAAAATACGTACATGAAACCAAGTTTTGTCGTAACTCAAAAATTATGGAATTTAGAAAACACGGTTATGAAAGGTCAAAAAACTACTGAATGGAACCAATAAATTTATATTCTCGTTTTTATAAATGGATTAATTATTATGTATAAATAAAAGTAATCCCATTGTTCGCTATAAGATTCATTCAGTGTTTTCTTTTTAATTTTCATATTGAGTTTTCGAAATTCCATAATTTTTTCCATAATTTTAATTTTTGAAGTAATACGACAGTTTCAAGTGCGATAGATTTTAAGATTTTCGTAGTACACACTCTGATTAACCAGTTACAAATTTATTAGCACACGGTTACACAATCCATTACGGGTTGACCGGCAACGTGTAACTGTTTCAAAACATCAGGAAAGTAAAAAATGTCATATCATGCCAAAAATCCTATAACCTGTAAACCTGTAGCCAGCATAGGATTAGTGATTTTAACAGCTGAGAACAGCGATAGAACGTAATTTAATAAAAATAGTCAAAACAGTAAACTAATAGTTGTCTTATTCAATAAACTCTATGAACAAAAACAGCATATCTATTTCGATTACATATAGGCCATATAATATCTTCCCTGGCCAACAGATTAAGCTCCGCTGCATACGCAGTCCGCAGAATACGTGAGCTTACCGATGTTAGTACTGCTAGACTAGTTTACTTTAATTACTTCCTTAATATAATATCCTACCGAGTCAGTGGGGTAAGGCGGTTGTAAAAAACCATACTTATTTGTGTTGTAAAAACTAGCGATTCGTTCTGTGTACCGTTTAAGTTCTCAGGTTTCTCTTAGAGAAAAGTTTCAGGATCACACCACATGTACTCAAATATTTTGTATGCCCACAAGATATCCATAATAGTAACATTAGAACTAAGTCCAAACTCATGGTACACGATCTCGTTTAACTAAGATAAACGATTCTTTTATGGGGAACTGTGTACGGTTTTATATTATGATTTCAGAACATATATTAAATTATCAATTCCTAAATTTAAAACTGACATTAAAGTATATTAATTGAAATACTACTAAATTTCACTTGTTAAATATAGTTGTATGGAAAGATGACATGGACCTAGACTCCATACAATTTGATTCAAAGTGTATTCAATAACATTTAAGTTTATTTGAAAAGGGCAAACATTGGAGTTTCTTGCTCGTTCTTCTTAGAGAAATCAGCACAGTGAACGAGCAGTAGCTTAAAAATGATGTTTTCAAGTGTAAATTTATTTAATTATGGAATAAGTAAATCTGACTTTGACACTGCAACTGTTATGGACAGGCGTGTAGCTTACCATCAAGTGCATGACGTGCTCGTACGGTACGAACACTTGATATTTATTATAAAAAATCCGAAATTCTTCTAATAGGTTTTTATCACAATAAAGATATAATTCAATTGCTCACATGGACATATTTACGCATCGTGTATATAACCAGAAATAGAGACGAAGTGTCATTTGTTTGAAAACTATTCTGCCATACTACTATGACAACTGCGCTCCGATTGGCCAGCCCGAATTCGAAACAATTGACGGGCATCGTTAATGGGTGTCGTCAATTATTTCACTTCAAATCGACCAGTTAACTTGGGCTTTGCTATAATGGAGGAAAATTGCAAAATTACAACATTAATTACCGATGAAATTTGATTCCGTTTGTTTTGTAATCAGATGTTTTGCTGTTTTTCCCCACACCACCGAATGGAACAGCACGCCATTGTTAGAGATTTTATCTTTATTACAATAAATACAGAACATTTTTGAAATATATGGAGGCGTACACACAGGTCAGTTGTTGGCGCTGTACTATTTCAGGTTTCTAATTTGTAATTTCAGTACAAACCAGAGTTGATATTTATAAGTGATGTATGGCCCTTATTTCGTCTCTATTTCTGGTTATCCTAAATACATCGAGTATATAAATACTCGATGTATTTAGGATAACGCTAAAAAAGATTGAATTATGATAACCAAGTTCAAATAACCCCTGGCCACATAACTAGAAAAGTAATTTGAAAAAAGAATGACTTCAATCGTCTTTTGTTTCTTAAAACACGGTAATACAAAAAGGAGAGTTTAAATTACTAGTATTTATGTGGTCTGTGGTTTAAATACATATTTCATAGGCTTTTATGAAGCTGGTATCAAGCAATA